CAAGTGGGGTATGCATATCGTCATTCACTTTTGATGACGTCACAATTACAGGTGACACACTTTATGACGTCACAATTGAACACGTGCTAATCGGCACGAGGCTATCTATCCCTAGGGGGTGACAAGCTGATCTTTCCCGGCTTAAACGGGAGACACACCTGTGAAGGGTTGGAGAAAATGATATCACCTTTGTGGAGCCCCAGCTTGACCACAATTGTCTTTACGACAATTTTCAGCTGGTTAAACTTAGGGATATCATGCTGAAGCCTTAAGTCGTGGATACAATTTTACACTGTTTGTACTTCTCAATTAGAACTTTGTCTTTCTGATATTAGATGCTGATTGAGCCATACTATACTGACACTCATCAAGGATTAAGCGTACTCATTGTTGTTACACCTGAACATCGGGCAAAGGATATGTCGCGCTATCAGCTTGCATTGGGCACATTTTACATAAAGACTTGGTCAATCCTTCAACATTTGTTTGTGCTACTACGGCAAATCTTGCTATTTTTAATTCAGTCCGTATCAGACAGATAATCACAAGTAACAGTTGCAAAACGTTTTACACTCGCAAATGACAAAGCGACTTATATGTTAATTTCTTTATCGGATGACATGAATCCAAAACTGATCAGTGTCTTTTTGCTACTTCTTGCTAATTTCTCAATCCCCATCTAGACGCTCTTTCTGTCGCATTTCCCAAATTTCTTGTGGCCTGCTTTCTAGTTACATGGTTTTGAATATCATCGAGTAGAAATTGGGCCTAGAATCTACAGCCAATTCGGACAGTACGTGTCATATTCCCTCCCTAAACCAATTTGATGTAATTCCATCTTCTTGTCATGTGATGATACGCGTATCGCAATCACTTGGCTGCTTTGTGCTAGCTATGCTGTTTTCCCGAATATAATCTCCTATCACATTTGCTAGCACCAAAAAGAATTCCAAAATTATATTTCTTTCTTCAGAAATAAATGTAGGATTTATGAACCCTATCGTCCTTCCTTCAATTTTTCAGTGTGAGAATTGTTTCAGCGTCTGGTCTTCTAGCCATCTAAACTGTTCTGGTGCGTGTTCCACATTTCTGGGTTATTTCGGACAGATGACGTTCATATTTCTACTTGTAAGCTTTATCTATGCATATTTGGTATACTATCTTCCATTGTTCCATTGATTATAATTTCAGAACACTGTTTACAAGATATTGTTTTCTCGTGATTTTACTACTAAAAAGTAATGTTTTTACTCGAATGTTTTGTTTATTTCCTTGACTTAATTTGTAATCAGGTAAAACAAATTCAAATTCATATAAAAAAAACAGCGATACTACCGGCATTATGTCGGATACCAATATTAATATAAATCGATAACTTGGTTTAAACACATAACAGAAACTGTCATTCTGCTCACATGCTGTTTATAACATCAGATAGAGGCTCTGTAAATTTAGGAATATACATCTGGTAACATAATCATACAGAATGGATGTTCATTATGCGAAATGAAATGAGCAATAAAACTATGGTTCAAATCATCAATAGCACCTTAACATCAAAATGAAATATGAATGGCCTTTTCATTTGTCTTGTTTCTATATAAGAAAGTCGTCCATGATCATCCGCATTAAGTATGTCTTCGAAATCGCACGGTGAATTTAAAATTTCATGATCACATTATGACGTCTAATGGAAAAAAATGAAAGAACAAGAACAGAAAGCAATCGAAATGTAACATGCAGAAGGTATCGATTTCAATCATTGCTTGATTAATCAAACGGTACCTATTTCTGATCAATCCGTCCATTAAAGGACTAACACAACTAAATCCTATACTATAAGGTGTTACTTAGCATTTTTGGCAGTTTCAATGGCTTATAAGAACGCTACTGGCTTCAGCTTTTGACAACCGGAGTTTGCAAGTCAAACCTCAACTTTTAGGAGTGAGTATAAGTAAGCACGGAACTAGAGGTATTTCCAAGGTATGTGTCACGTGTTATCGATATTGCGGTGTCAGCGGAAAACAAGGAGCTAGAAACTTAAATGTTGTTTTCTGACTGGAAAACTTGATGTTTCACAATGAGATTGTTCTGCTACAAAGCTATACAGAGAAAATGTGTATCTATAAAATCAATTGAATAGCTAAGTTGACTATTAAGTGTATCAAAATTTTCGTTTTCTATCTCTGTATGTTGTTGATATGTTTTGATTGACCATTTCTGGTGTCCGGGATGAAATTAATCTGGATCAGTATTCGCTCAAACACTACGCCGTTCGACGAAATGATTGTGTTCGTTTGATTCACGTGATTTCCTTTTCTTAAAATGACGACACCAAATCAACAAAAGCGTTTTTTTAGTGATTCAGTACTAAAATTAATAATAAAGATACATACATATTTTGTCTTATTATTGTTTATAACGCAACAGCTAGATATTTAGGTCGAAAGCGTCTGGTTTCAATTGATTGAGAGAGTCATAACTTTTAGCAATGAAATTGCAATCCATGCAATTCTCGGGTAATACTTTTTGATTCGATAGTGTGTTTGTATCTAATTTCAATGTTTTAGTTTTAGTTGGTGGAATCGTGCCATCAACCAAATCATGTTTCTTATCAAAAAAAATACACACGTGACAGTCAGTCTATAGGAATTACGAGGCTACCGTACAGGATTGTAATTTGGTAAAGTTGATGCAAATAATATAATTTATTGTCAACAAATACGAAATAGGATTCATTCGATCTTAAAATATCGTTATAAAATTGTTTTGATTGAACAACACAGTAAGATGTCTATTTTAAGCTGGGTACCTTACGTTTAAGCCTTTTTTATAAATGGTTTGTTTGCTTTCATGTCCAAGCTCTATAATAGGTTGATCATTGGTTAGTTAAATTAATCATGTTTAAAAACAGCTCTTCAGCCAAGAACTCAAAACAGCACTCAACAACTCCAAAGAAACTGATTTAAAATGTTGTCCAATTTTTGTTTATTACGATGATTTTTGCGTTTATTACGGCACATTTAAAATCTTTTACATAATATATTAAAGAGGATAATTTTTCGGGATTCTGCGCTTTTCATAGATTACATAACCAAGCTATCTTTGCAATTTGCCTATTTCCCTAAAATCGACAATTCAAACTATTAAAAGTGCGCTGATAAGAATACTGTGGGACAAATTACACTATCAATCATAATTATACAGTCAAATTACATTGTTTCAAACTTTGTGGGTCAATCAGGAAAAAATTCGAAGAGTTGATCTTCCAACGTCTTTGATATCTGTATATATTATACTGCATAAGAACGAACGGTATTTTTAATTAAGAAACGAACTATAAGTTATATCATCTATTAAATATTTTTTATATATGTTAATGTACTACTGACATGATATGTCTATAAAATACACCGCATGAATTTCAAATTTCATTGTAACTACAATTCATTGAACACGAAGAAATAAACTTCAAATATTACAAGAATCAATTTGAATGTGATAACATACCCAATGAAGAGTCCATTAAGTACCTAATATGACCACCCTTTGCTTTGACGCGTGCCCGTATTTTGGACCGCAAATAGCTTCAGTGTTTCAAATTAACGTTACAAGGTGGTTATTCCCCTCTTTTAGTTGAGCTGTAGCCAGTTCGTTGCGGTAGTGAAGCTGGAGTTGAAATATTAAATCCACTTGTGTAATTCGTCCCAAAGATGATCAACAGAATTGAAATCTTAAGGAAACGCGAGAAAAAGCAATAAACTAAACTTTTCCCCGTATAAACGTCAACCAATTGTTCGGATGCCGAAGACTTTGTAGCAGTGACCTAACTTTAGAGCAAAAACCTGATCCATATCGCTTAATGCGGTCAGCGTGTTTTCATTACGACCAATGATGAACAAAGTTGTGATTTATGACTTCCAAGACAATAACGCCGCCACAACCAATCCGACCACGCGAAAGACCACAATTATGTATACCTTGTAATACCGTCAGCACAAGAGAGATTGAATCGGGACACATTACTGAACACAACGTAACGCCATTTTTGTCGATTAGGAAGTTAGTCTGTTGCCCAGGTCGACGGTTGACCAGATGACGTCGTGCGAGAATTTATCCTATCCTTGAACGAACACACACTATTCCTCGTTCTGTAAGACAACTGTGCCTAACTCCTAATAATATTTAACTAAATATAATAAAAAATGAAAATTCTGAATTCTATATAAAAACACACGTTCAAATCATGTAAAACAGAAAAATATTTATTTTGATCTTGTTCTTTTAGGTTTTGTTTTTTTTAGGGTTGGGAGAGGTTTTTTAATCCTTTTATTTTTGTTTTGTTTTGTCTTTAATAACAACTTGATGTCAAAAGAAAAATAAATATGACCTTTTCATTTGTCTTTTATTCCAAGCAGATATTGATCGCTAGTCTTCCATGAACACTCATATTGAACATGAAATAATATGTATATATTCAAAATCGAAATCATTTTTCACTGTGGAAATTCAAAATTACTAAATATATTATTACGTAACAACCATAAGATGAAAAGAAAACATCAAGCTATCGAACAGCAATAAACAAGAGTTGTCGATTGCAATGAATCGAATCAAACGTATATATTGCTGCATTATTAAATGCAGGTTTCTGATTGCCATCTGTTTGTAGAAGATTTATTTTTTTACAGTTTGTTTGAAACCAATCTGCGTCACAGCTATCATGTCTATCAAATCGGCTTTTATAGATATAGGCGTAACCTAATATAGTAGGCTTTAGTATCGCAAGCGCAACTGTATTTGGCATACATCGTCAGTTTTGCGGTGTCAGTAGATCATTCTAGAAGCTAAGAAGTGATACAGTGACGTGCTTATAACAATCTTGATGGTAGATGTTGTCTTTTAACTGAAAACAAAAACAAGTTTGGCTATCGACTTTAACTCAACTTGAATTTCTAAGAAACAGACACAATGTTTCTTTGGATATTAACATTCGTCATATGGATAAATTGCTGTCACGGAGATGTTTTGCAGTATCACTACACGAAAGCGTCGGTTGTGCCAGGGAGTTTGGTAGGATCGCCTTCGTTCTCTGTCTCAGACCTAGAGTGTTCCACTTCATGTTCAACACACAACTTGAGTCCTTTACGTTTAACACAAAAACAGGGGAGTGTCGGATGTACCGTGTTTTGTTACAAGGAAACATTTCAACAGTACCGGACTTGGAGCATTACATACTTGAGGAGACAGGAAGTAAGTATTTTCAGAATCTTAAGGTTTAATGGCTGAAGAAAAAAAATAACGGATCTTTTGGCGAGTTTGAACAAAGTGCCGACATTTTGAAAACACTTATTCCTTTTGAACGAGTTTTATTTTATTCAACATAAGCCTTGACACCTAGGTGTGTTGAGCAGAATGACGAAATAAATGTTAATATTGTTAGCATATTGAGAACCCACTTTTAACAGCTTGAATGCTGAAACATTTGAAAACATTAGCACACTTAGAAAAGTAAAGAAAACATGTTTTGATTATATGATGAAAGTCAACTGATTAAAGTCATAGGTAGAATAATTGCATTCCAATATTAATTCGGGTTCAAGAGATATATTTTGTAAATAACAAAATACAACAAAAATGTAGAAGAATAACATTTCATTTATCAATTAACCAATCTTCCTTGTGGTAACTATCATTCAAATAAATCTAGAAAAATGTTACGTTTCCACAATTCATGTGGTTGATCTAATATCTAGTCAGTCTCGCAGTTTTATAATTGCATCATCCCTACCGTCCCTAAGATATGTTGGTAATTTGAGTTAACCACATGATAAGAATAAAAAATCACGACACTTTCAAAGTATATAGAAAAATATTTATTAACAAAATATATATCATCCCTCTGAGGTAATAGAATATTGCATACGGAAAACTATTGAAAAGGGACCCTTTACATCCCACCAACTCAAAAAAAAGGATCAATTCGGAGCAACGGTGTCAGTATATTAGAAACCATTCGCGGACTTTCGTGCTGTAAGCGATGTATTTGAACTTTCAATTCCTCGGAGATATGACGTTGGATACGGCCAGTGGACATATGGCACGGGCAAGGTGTCTAATCCCTTACACACATTATCTGGTATCATTTTTTAAACCAACTAAACGTCTGTCTTATATACTGTAGCTTTCGGTGAAACAATAGCAAACACATATATTTTACAGTGATGTAAGCCTATTTTCCGTAGGAGATATTCATACACACAGTAACACCCACCTTAGAAGTTTTTGTATCTGTATCGCGCATGAGCCAGTGTATACTGTTCTTCAGATAAGTTGGCTAGATCAATAGTATAAGGGTCTGAGGTCCGTTCGGACCCCGTTTCATTTTTTTCCAGTTTTATTTCATCTCTTTTTTTCCATAAAAGTTCCATAAGGTGTGTCTCTTTCACTTCGCAGAAATGGTTGATAAAGTCTATTATATAGTCAGACTGGAAAAAGTTGCCAGTGCATAATAAGTAACGTAACAAGGGGCGCGTTCGGATTCAAATATATATAGAATCGAATCAACAGAAGTGCTGGTTGCCGATGTAAGTAAATATTGTTGAATAAAAAGGGTTCAGCATCATGTTGGGACATTTCGACGCTACATAGGTACCACTAGCCAAATTTTAGTTTCTCTCTGGCTTTGGTGGAGATTTTGCTGGCTATGATTTGCTATGATTTGCTATGAATGGCGTTACGCATTTTTCTTATTTACGTCAGTATCTATAAAGTAAACAAAATGTGCCGCCCCAACCACCACCCCATCCAAACAAATTAATTTGGCTTTATATTAGAATTATTAGCGATACCGACAGTATCTGACTGTGATTAGAAGACGAATACATGTACAAAAAAAGAGAAAAAGACTCACCGGTTCTATGTGCACGTTCAACTGAATAATATCGCAACTCTTTTGAAAATATGTCTTCGAAATCAAAGACTTCCGCCCTCGATTTTGTACTGAGCGTGTAACCCTTGGATTTCGAAATTGCAGGAAATAGAGAGCATCATATATGATTGTGTACAACAGATCGTATACACATTCTAATTCGTTGTCATACACTAAAGGTAAAAAAATCTACATCTGCAAGTTTCTACAATATACCTTAATATCAGTCGGTATAGCAGCATGCGTACTAACTGTTGAAATACATGTAATTATATAAGGAAATAGATCATTATTTAAGCTTTCCATAGAGGTATAACATGTGGTTCTAGGTGATCGTAATAGTTTTATTTGATCTTTTGAATATGATGTAATTCAATGTATTTTTCCATTACGTTTCCGGAGTGAATGTAATTCGGTCTACGCATAAATTTCTTGGTCTGACAGAAAGTCCGGGTTTTCACTGTGGCAACGAAAGGGTTAATGGTTCTGCTTAATAGTCAGTAGAATATTCCAATCGTAGACGAGTATTGCTTCAATATAAAACATAGTTTTATTGGAAATGTTTTCCAGTAAAACCTGATGGCCATTGTTTACGGAACGCTGACTGTGACACCATACCATCTGCTGTCTGTGATAAAGGGATTTGCCGGTGCCCCCGTAACTACATGTTTATCTCCACCCTGGGGATCTGTAGCTGTGGTAAGTATCCCTACCTATCCAAACCTAGATGAAACTAGGCCCTGGCGAACTGTACTTCATCCGTCAACGTGCAAAATCGCATCTATTACATCTGTTTCACTATCACATCTTAAATCAATATTTAGTACACTACAAAGTCAATGGCGCTGACAGGACACCGTGAATAGTTACCGCTACTTTTTCTCGGTATATTTACCGAGGTTTATTGTTTATCAAAGTTGTTTTCAGTATTCAGGCATCTTTTTATAATTAATTGTATAGAATACAATGTATCGCTTAGTCATATTAAGATTTCAATTATGTTTCCCAGAGACATTTATTGTTGATCCCGTTCATGTATTTTGATGAAATAGTTAAAAATTGATGAACTATTTCCTTTAGGTCACTGACCAACAGAAATAGATCATCGGATTGACCGAAAACGCGAAGGGGTCATACTTTGTGACTGCCTCATAAAAATGGGCGAATTATCGATATTGCCATCTGTAACATCATCTTGACGCTTACAAATGTTAAAGGTCACACGAGACCTCGACGGGTATTGTCATTATCGTGAAGACGCTTTGAATGCGTCAATTTCTAAGGACGAATAACGTTTTCTGCCATATTCAACTATATTCTGGATCCCTATAACTTGGTGAGATTTGTAATGGTAACAATTTATCGGGACTCAGAGGTATGTGACAAATATAGGCATAATCTATATACCAACAAAGATGTGTTAGTGTGATGAGCCGTATTTATCGTGACTTATAATCCACCAGAGGAGTGTGACAATGACATGCACTATCTATAATCCACCAGAGGAGTGTGACAATGACATGCACTATCTATAATCCACCAAAGGAGTGTACAATGACATGCACTATCTATTATCCACCAGAGGAGTGTGACAATGACATGCACTATCTATAATCCTCCAGAGGAGTGTGACGATGACATGCACTATTTGTAATCCACCAGAGGATTGTGACAATGACATGGACTATCTATAATCCAACAGAGGAGTGTGACAATGGCATGCACTATCTATATCCACCAGAGGAGTATACAATGACATGCACTATCTATAATCCACCAGAGGAGTGTGACAATGACATGCACAATACATAATCCACCAGAGGAGTGTGACAATGACATGCACTATCTATAATCCACCAGAGGAGTGTGACAATGACATGCACTATCTATAATCCACCAGAGGAGTGTGACAATGACATGCACTATCTATAATCCACCAGAGGAGTGTGACAATGACATGCACTATCTATAATCCACCAGAGGAGTGTGACAATGACATGCACTATCTATAATCCACCAGAGGAGTGTGACAATGACATGCACTATCTATAATCCACCAGAGGAGTGTGACAATGACATGCACTATCTATAATCCACCAGAGGAGTGTGACAATGACATGCACTATCTATAATCCACCAGAGGAGTGTGACAATGACATGCACTATCTATAATCCACCAGAGGAGTGTGACAATGACATGCACTATCTATAATCCACCAGAGGAGTGTGACAATGACATGCACTATCTATAATCCACCAGAGGAGTGTGACAATGACATGCACTATCTATAATCCACCAGAGGAGTGTGACAATGACATGCACTATCTATAATCCACCAGAGGAGTGTGACAATGACATGCACTATCTATAATCCACCAGAGGAGTGTGACAATGACATGCACTATCTATAATCCACCAGAGGAGTGTGACAATGACATGCACTATCTATAATCCACCAGAGGAGTGTGACAATGACATGCACTATCTATAATCCACCAGAGGAGTGTGACAATGACATGCACTATCTATAATCCACCAGAGGAGTGTGACAATGACATGCACTATCTATAATCCACCAGAGGAGTGTGACAATGACATGCACTATCTATAATCCACCAGAGGAGTGTGACAATGACATGCACTATCTATAATCCACCAGAGGAGTGTGACAATGACATGCACTATCTATAATCCACCAGAGGAGTGTGACAATGACATGCACTATCTATAATCCACCAGAGGAGTGTGACAATGACATGCACTATCTATAATCCACCAGAGGAGTGTGACAATGACATGCACTATCTATAATCCACCAGAGGAGTGTGACAATGACATGCACTATCTATAATCCACCAGAGGAGTGTGACAATGACATGCACTATCTATAATCCACCAGAGGAGTGTGACAATGACATGCACTATCTATAATCCACCAGAGGAGTGTGACAATGACATGCACTATCTATAATCCACCAGAGGAGTGTGACAATGACATGCACTATCTATAATCCACCAGAGGAGTGTGACAATGACATGCACTATCTATAATCCACCAGAGGAGTGTGACAATGACATGCACTATCTATAATCCACCAGAGGAGTGTGACAATGACATGCACTATCTATAATCCACCAGAGGAGTGTGACAATGACATGCACTATCTATAATCCACCAGAGGAGTGTGACAATGACATGCACTATCTATAATCCACCAGAGGAGTGTGACAATGACATGCACTATCTATAATCCACCAGAGGAGTGTGACAATGACATGCACTATCTATAATCCACCAGAGGAGTGTGACAATGACATGCACTATCTATAATCCACCAGAGGAGTGTGACAATGACATGCACTATCTATAATCCACCAGAGGAGTGTGACAATGACATGCACTATCTATAATCCACCAGAGGAGTGTGACAATGACATGCACTATCTATAATCCACCAGAGGAGTGTGACAATGACATGCACTATCTATAATCCACCAGAGGAGTGTGACAATGACATGCACTATCTATAATCCACCAGAGGAGTGTGACAATGACATGCACTATCTATAATCCACCAGAGGAGTGTGACAATGACATGCACTATCTATAATCCACCAGAGGAGTGTGACAATGACATGCACTATCTATAATCCACCAGAGGAGTGTGACAATGACATGCACTATCTATAATCCACCAGAGGAGTGTGACAATGACATGCACTATCTATAATCCACCAGAGGAGTGTGACAATGACATGCACTATCTATAATCCACCAGAGGAGTGTGACAATGACATGCACTATCTATAATCCACCAGAGGAGTGTGACAATGACATGCACTATCTATAATCCACCAGAGGAGTGTGACAATGACATGCACTATCTATAATCCACCAGAGGAGTGTGACAATGACATGCACTATCTATAATCCACCAGAGGAGTGTGACAATGACATGCACTATCTATAATCCACCAGAGGAGTGTGACAATGACATGCACTATCTATAATCCACCAGAGGAGTGTGACAATGACATGCACTATCTATAATCCACCAGAGGAGTGTGACAATGACATGCACTATCTATAATCCACCAGAGGAGTGTGACAATGACATGCACTATCTATAATCCACCAGAGGAGTGTGACAATGACATGCACTATCTATAATCCACCAGAGGAGTGTGACAATGACATGCACTATCTATAATCCACCAGAGGAGTGTGACAATGACATGCACTATCTATAATCCACCAGAGGAGTGTGACAATGACATGCACTATCTATAATCCACCAGAGGAGTGTGACAATGACATGCACTATCTATAATCCACCAGAGGAGTGTGACAATGACATGCACTATCTATAATCCACCAGAGGAGTGTGACAATGACATGCACTATCTATAATCCACCAGAGGAGTGTGACAATGACATGCACTATCTATAATCCACCAGAGGAGTGTTATTGTGGTGAGACCAATTTAACTTGATAGGGCAGTGTGTGACAGTACCTAGCACAATTTATCTTAACCAAGAGTATATTTTTACTTTCTTTAATTTCTTTTTCCGGCATTACCATTGATCGTTTTTTAATGCACAACTTACTAAAATGCTTAAATCAGGGACACAGGATAACAATTTTGTTTTGCTAGTAATCAGTCCTTTTTCACAACAAATATCTGATTTTTTCAAGGTTTTTTCAATATGACTTTACCTTCAATCATGATTTGTTAGAAAAGAGTAAGCATATTATCGATGTTGCTATTATTGATTTCTTGTGTCTTTATCGTGCAGATTGTCTGAGTCTTCACGACGCCGGCTTGACATCAGACGGGATCTACGAGATCAGACCGGACGGTGTGACGTCAGTCAATGTGTCATGTGACATGACCGAGGGAGGATGGACTATTTTTCAACAGCGGTTCAAAGGGGATGTAAACTTTCGGAATGCCACTTGGAACCAATCAGCGGAAGGGTTTGGAGATCCAAAGGGAGACTACTGGCTTGGACTTACGTACATGAACATGCTGACATGGACTGCAAACGAAATTGTTTTCAAAATGAAGCTGTTAAACAACACAATGGTATATTTCCACCATACCGACTTCTTGGTGGCTAATTCTTCTTCCATGTTTCGAATGAAAGTATCGCAAGATTACAAATCAAATATGTTCTCCCCGGCAGAATATGATGCTTTTTATCGACACCACAACAAGCCTTTCTCGGCTTGGGATCAGGACAATGATGAAGTTAACAGGAACTGTGCGGAAGTCGGCGGCCCCTGGTGGAATATCAATTGTGGCTCCTTCGGGTTCTTCAATACCAATTTTGACAAAATGCATTTCAAAAGGAACACAAAAGATGTATACTTAGCGCATAGTTGTTTCAAAATACGTAGACAGAAATGAAAATGTTTAATGTGTAATTGCAAATCTACGCAAATCTTTTTTATTTTTATTTTTTTGTCAGTTAGGTGTTTTTCAATGCATCCCCGTCCCAGGCAGAGCAAAACACTAAAGATTTCCACTGTCGTTTTTCAGTGTTAGAGTCACCTGTCCCTGATTACCATGTCGACAATGTTGTTATCTTCCCTTGAATAGATTTCGTTTGAATAACGTTTCGACTACAGAGTTGTATCCCTTGCGTTGAAAATCCCCAATCGAGAAAGTGTGGGTAAAAAAACTTCCCAACGATGTGACAGTGATGGCCGACATGCAAACCCGACGTAAAATCGGCCGTTTTAAATGAAAACTAAACGCATTAACTGACAATAATAACAACAACGATGTCCAATATCAACTGCTAGACCACGACTATGCGACGAAACAAAGTGACACTCGTTCACACATTGAAGAGACGCTGGCTACTGAGGCCCCGGGGTACTTATTTTACTAATGAGCCGACACCGACGTCCGATGAGGATCCCCCCAGTACTAGTGATCACGAATACGTCAATAACTTTTTAACCTGATCGCAGGGTAGACGAGTGGTTGAACTTGCGATGTTATCTGGACCAGAAAGTTTGTAAGGAATGCGGTACTAGGCTACGGTTGTTCAATACCCGACATTTTTTTTAATTTTTAATTTTATTTTTTTATATCACAACATGGTATCATGTAGAAATTTTATATTGTTGTGTAAAGTATGTGAAACTTTCTTATTGTTGTTCATTGTGACATTTTTGCTATGACACAGTAAAGTACATTGTTTGCTATAATGTTATTCATACACAATGTGCAATTTTGTTTCTATATTTGTTATTTGAAGTAATTTTAATGGTTGGTAATGCCTACTCGTATATAAAAAGTGCTATATTGTATGTTGTAAATTGTATATATGACTTTTTGGGATTTATAATTGATATTGGTACAAATGTGTAGTTGTCTCTCTTTTTTGTTCAGTTTTTTTGTATCTTTTTTTATATATATAATAAGTAAGTCCGTAAGATATTTATTTTTCGTCACCTATCTTTTCTTTTCGTTGTCCTTAACGTGTTACATTGGCACTCGGAATTTATTGATTCATGTAACGGGCATTTTTGTTTGTTTAAGTATTATTGTTAGAAAATTACTCAGTTTTTTGTGTGTTTTGTTCATAAATATTGACATTGTTATTATTTTTTATGTGTTTTATTTCTAATAAACCATTGTTGCATCAAATAAAATGTATTTTGTTTCATTTTGTTCCCTTGACACTGACAGGGAAACAACAGGGGAGTATCGGAAGTAACGTGGTCACTGACAGGGAAACAACAGGGGAGTATCGGAAGTAGCGTGGTCACTGACAGGGAAACATCAGGGGAGTATCGGAAGTAGCGTGGTCACTGACAGGGAAACAGCAGGGTAGTATCGGAAGTAGCGTGGTCACAGACAGGGAAACATCAGGGGAGTATCGGAAGTAGCGTGGTCACTGACAGGGAAACAGCAAACCAGAACCTGGCGTAGAGTATTTAACACTTCAAGAGACAGGTAGGTATTTAAGTCGATATCTTGAGAAAAAAAACCTCTTACTTAATCTGTTTCCAAGAAAATTTAAAGTGCCCTTCTATCAAGCACTATACTTTTTAAGTGGAATTTGCGACTCTGAGTTTCTGAGTTATATAGGCAAAATACGCTTTGCACTGTTTTTTAGTAGTTTGGAGCAAGGAAGTATGTTTAAGCATTATTTGTTACAGGTAAAGGCCATATAAATTGAGTGGAAAGGACAAATATTTGAAATATTGCATAATCCTTTCCACTCTCAAAAACTTGATAACGGAAACATGTTAATTGAATCAGCACGCTTAAAAAAGGAAGGGATTGTTCCATGATATCAATCAAATAAACGTAATATAAGCGTAGCAATGGTTCCTATGGAACCTGTGTAATCTTCAATAGGACGTAATGGACAGCCTGGCTTGTGGATCTTGGGTTTACATTATATGCGTTAGGTGTTTTCTGATGTAGGAATAACTATTGATATTTTCCCTCACTGATAGATACCCCGTTCTTCATTTTTGTAAGAAATGTGACCAATAAACGTTTATCCATCTGTAGCTTGGTGTCGGATCTATTTTCAGCATTTCGTATGTTTTGCTGTCACTAAGCATGGTGGCAATGTTTTTTTCGTGTTTTATTTTGCTTTATACATAACGTCGACAAAAGCCAGGACATGTAACCGAGTTACCCCTAGTTTTTCAGTAGAATCTTCGACCGAGACTTTTTATTTAACATGCTTGTTTTTCTGTATAGAGGCATACTTGTTACAATTAATAACGCTTTTTAAAACTTAACATGAAATTCCAGAAATCGGTATGATCCATCCATTTTACGCATTTAGAATTTCAAATGTTAATTAATCGTAATACACATGTTTTTCTTGTCGTATTTTCGTGTCGTCATTTCAGTATTGCGTATCGGGCATTCCATTACCGTAGTGTAACACCGGGTAAACAATAGTACACGTGCGTGACGATGATATGTCAACACCCGATATCGAGACTTTACTTGGAAATGTGTAATCACACGTACTTCAGAAATAAAGCTTATGATATAAAGAAATTAATTAACTCACGGAAAAACACTGACATACGATCAGACGACTTCAAGAATGTCGTATATGAGGCGCATGGAATGCAGACTGATGTGTTGTTTACCGACCTCTCCTGTACGTATCATGTGCTAACAGTAGTTCACAAGCTCTTGGTCGCTACGTCTTTTGCTGTCGAGCGAGTTACGCTCTGTCAGATAAATTGGTTCACAAATGCAATTACAATAACTCTCTGGAAATAGTGGTTTGTAAAATATCAAGATCCCTATAAAATGCAAGTGCATGTGCGTGCACGTAATAACGGCATACCATGCGATAGCCTATGGTTACATATGTACCTGGCATGTTAATATACCATGCGTAAGCAGGCTATGGAATGATGTCCAAAGTGTACATGATTGAGAGTAATTTTGTTCCATAAAAGAACAGTAAATTGACAATTAAATATAGAAATTTAATGTACTTCCATCGTTTTTGGTATAAGTTAAGAAAATAAGTGTCATTGTATAAATTCTATCCCTCTGCAAAAAGTTCTGATTTTTTTCAAGGAAGACAACTCTCATCAGGATCAAAATTATTGTAAAATGTAAAATAAATTAATTATAAAGACTTCGTGTGTATTTGGGTTCAATTTTTCAATCTTTTTGTATGAAACTATATGTCCTGTTTGCTTTAAGCTTGTATTTAGAAACTTTTATCCATACAATTTCAATAAAAAACGCTTTTTGTAACATGTTGTAGATATTTTTTGATAAATAAAATATGTGCAGGGTTGATTAGCAATGTTTCGTTTCAATATTATATTGTTGCAATAGTTCTGAACAATGCCACACGCTCAAAAAATGTGAAAGCGTTGAATTTGACAAAAAATCAATTTTTCGGTATTTTTTACAACCCCCCCCCCNAGGAAGTAGTATCTTTAAACTGCCTTATGAAAACGTGTGTATTTTGTTCGCAGACAAATTAACACTGTGACTCAGAGGTATGTGACAGAAATTAACAACACTGTGAATCAGAGGTATGCGACAGAAATTAACACTGTGACTCAGAGGTATGTGACAGAAATTAACAACACTGTGAATCAGAGGTATGTGACAAAAATTAACAACAATGTGAATCAGAGGTATGTGACAGAAATTAACACTGTGACTTAGAGGTATGTGACAGAAATAAACAATGACTCCAAGGTATGTGACAGAAATTAACACTGTGACTTAGAGGTATGTGACAAAATTAACAAACACTCAAAGGTATGTGACAAAAATTAACCAATGACTCCAAGGTATGTGACAGAAATTAACACTGCGACTTAGAGGTATGTGACAGAAATTAACAATGACTCAAAGGTATGTGACAGAAATTTACACTGTGACTCAGAGGCATGTGACAAAATTCACAATGACTCAGAGGTATGTGACAGAAATTAACACTGCGACTTAGAGGTATGTGACAGAAATTAACAATGACTCAAAGGTATGTGACAGAAATTAACACTGTGACTCAGAGGTATGTGATAGAAATTAACAACAATGTGAATCAGAGGTATGTGACAGAAATAAAAACTGTGACTCAGAGGTATGTGACAGAAATTAACAATGACTCCAAGGTATGCGACAGAAATTAACACTGTGACTTAGAGGTATGTGACAAAATTAACAAACACTCAAAGGTATGTGACAGAAATAAACAATGACTCCAAGGTATGTGACAGAAATTAACACTGTGAATCAGAGGTATGTGACAAAATTAACAATGACTCAAAGGTATGTGACAGAAATTAACACTGTGACTCAGAGGTACATGTATGTGACAAAATTCACAATGACTCAAAGGTATGTGACAGAAATTAACAAACACTCAAAGGTATGTGACAGAAATTAACAATGTGACTCAGAGGTATGTGACAGAAATTAAGACTGTGAATCAGAGGTATGTGACAGAAATTAACAATAACTCAAAGGTATGTGACAGAAATTAACACTGTGACTTAGAGGTATGTGACAGAAATTAACAATGACTGGAAGGTATGTGACAGAAATTTACACTGTGACTCAGAGGTATGTGACAAAATTAACAATGACTCAAAGGTATGTGACAGAAATTAACACTGAGACTTAGAGGTATGTGACAGAAATTAACAATGACTCCAAGGTATGCGACAGAAATTAACACTGTGACTCAGAGGTATGTGACAAAAATTAACAACAATGTGAATCAGAGGTATGTGACAAATAAAAACTGTGACTCAGAGGTATGTGACAGAAATTAACAATGACTCCAAGGTATGCGACAGAAATTAACACTGTGACTCAGAGGTATGTGACAAAAATTAACACTCTGACTCAGAGGTATGTGACAGAAATTAACAATGACTCAAAGGTATGTGACAGAAATTTACTCTGTGACTCAGAGGTACATGTATGTGACAAAATTCACAATGACTCAAAGGTATGTGACAGAAATTAACACTGTAACTCAGAGGCATGTGACAGAAATTAGCACTGTGACTCAGAGGTATGTGACAAAAATTAACAACAATGTGAATCAGAGGTATGTGACAGAAATAAAAACTGTGACTCAGAGGTATGTGACAGAAATTAACACTGTGACTCAGAGGCATGTGACAGAAATTAGCACTGTGACTCAGAGGTATGTGACAGAAATTAACACTGTGACTCAGAGGTATGTGACAGAAATTAACACTGTGACTCAGAGGTATATGACAAAAATTAACACTGTGACTCAGAGGTATGTGACAGAAATTAACAACACTGTGAATCAGAGGTATGTGACAGAAATTAACATTGTGAATCAAAGGTATGTGACAGAAGTTTGCATAACTGCTATACATAATAGGTGAATGATATAAGTGTGTGACGCTTCGTTTATGCAATGCACTTGTCGCTAACACGCTAACGTGTATACGTTATTTGACACCGACGACACTTAACTCTTCTATTACCCTGCTTTGCAATATGATGTACCACAATGTGAAGTTATTAAATATGGCCGACAGCTCTCAAATTCTCCTTCCGGTTTGTTAAGAAGAATTTAAGCGTATTATCGATGTTGCTATTGATTTCTTGTGTCTTTATCGTGCAGACTGTTTAAGTCTTGACGACACCGGCTTGACATCAGACGGGATCTACGAGATCAGACCAGACGGAGTGACCTCAGTCAGCGTGGCATGTGACATGAAAGAAGAAGGATGGACTGTTTTTCAACAGCGGTTTAAAGGGGATGTAAACTAGCGGTAGGGCTTGGAGATCCAAAGGGAGACTACCGGCTTAGACTCAAGTACTTGAACATGCTAGCATAGACAGCCGATGAACTATTCTTTGAAATGAAACAGATAAACGACACAATGGTATATTTCCACCATACTAACTTCTTAGTGGCAATTTCTTCCTCCTTGTTTCTGATGAAAGTATCGCAAGATTAAAAATCAATTTTTTCCCCCTGCAAAACATGACGCTTTTTATCGCCAGAACGGCAAGCTATATATCAGGACAATGAAGACGATACCACGACAAAATGTGCGGAAAGTAACGGTCCCTGGTGGCACATCAAATGTAGCCTCTTCGAAAACTTCAAAAATAGGTTTAAATCAATAAGATTTTCAAAAACTCCGCCTCAGAAGCAAGTTCTTTACTTTGCGCAGTGCCGTTTCAAGATTCGTAGATATTAGATGAAAAACTTTTTAGGATTACCAAGATATGTATATTGTGATGTTCTTTTATTTCAGATTGGTATCAGTTTTATCACATTTAGACTTATTTTGTCTTTCTTTTGTGTTTCACAAACATACACATATCGCGTCTATTGTAGTGATTGCGACTGACTTATTCGATATTTTGAATTTGTAGCATTTTAGATGCGTTAATTATTTATTTGTTACACAATTCTGTAGACTATTTCATACATTAATATCATAGGAAGCTAATTTTATTTGTTGATATTATTTTCCTTTTTAGCATCTTGTGACCATGGAATAAATGGAATTGAACTGATTGTTGTTCATCGCTCGTAAACAAAAACAACTTAAGAGAAAAATTAATTGAAATGAAAAAAAACCCGATAGCTTGTTTTGAGTGTAAAAATGACACATGGACATCGTACATGTACCAACGAAAGTGTGCTTTGTGGGGAGACCACTAAATTTGGACCCCACCAAAATAACTGATTTCACAGTATTGATAGAATAAAATTAGCAACAACCCCTTTTGTACCAAAATAAAGTATGAAAGTGGTAAATTGTTGTATCGGCATGGATATATCTAGTCCTTAGAGAAGTCTGACTCAAAACAAACACCAGTGTTTTTGCATATTGTTGTTTGCAAATATAGGATTGTGGGGCCGACTTTAAGTACAAAGCCCTACGTACAGATGACTCTTAAACTGGAAAAGATTGCAATCAGCTCATCTAATGTTTAGTATGGTTACTTATATCTACCGTATTCATTGTTATGTTGGCTATTGTAGCAGTGAAATGTTATAGAGGCAGATACGGCTATATATCAGTTTGATGTCACCAATAACGGTCTCGCGCTATATAACTTCACATTATAACTCCTGAATTGTAGAGTTTGACATTAACACCATTGTTAGCGTGTGACGAGAAACGTATAGATATAACCTCCAGAGTGAAAACTGACAAATTCGTAACTTAAGAGTGACGAGTCAATATGGTTTCAATTCGTACTTTGAAACAATAGCAGCTGTATACGTCATACGTTGTCGGTATTGCGATGTCAGCAGATCATTCTAGAAGCTAATAGGGTGATACAGTAGCGTGTTTGACAAACTTGATATTAAATATGGCAAACCAACTTAACATTTATTCAAGGAGCAATGTCGATCCTGTATTTCATCGAATTATATAAGATATCTTATATAGCATATGATATATCTTATATACTATATAAGATATCTGATATCGTATATAAGATATCTCATAGTATATGAGATATCTTATAAAGTATATGAGATATCTTATATAAAATATAAGATATCTTATATACTATATGAGATATCTTATATAGAAATTAAATGAGATGCTATATAAGATATCTTATATGATATATAAGATATCTTATATCGTATATAAGATATCTCATTTAATTTTCTATATAAGATATCTTATATAATATATAAGATATCTCATATAGCTATATAAGATATCTTATATGATTAAAGTCTGTTACTAAATAAGATATCTTATATAGGAACGAGATTTTAACAAAATGTCGAAAATGAAGTCTCCCCGTCCGGAATATCTCGAGGATCTACGTAGGGATAGTAGGCTTGTTGTAACAACACGTGTTCCTGTCGCCGCCATTATGTCTGTGGGTGAAGAACACAGTCAATGCGTGACTATAAACTCAGACAAACTATGTCTTCGTATATATTTTTTTTTTGTTATTTTGCCTCGTACTTGCCATGTTTCCAGGAAAAATAGAACTATTTTCTACTATACAAGCTACCATCTTTCCTTGATTATTAAATATCAAAAAACATCAATGTTCCCCTCTGAGCATCAGTGCGAAAATTACAAACACCATCAATTCAAGCCAAACTTTCCTGTGCATGAATAGGACCTAGGAAACGTCAATTTTCAATGTTGAAAAGAGAAATAACTAAAATGATTAAAGCAGTTTGTCTCTTTTGACTTGAAAATGAATAAACATGTAGTAGATCATACCTTTTGAAAATGACATCTTAATACATTGTACGTTATTTTTCATATAAAACAAATGTTTAAAAAAAATACCTACGTGTAAAAACTACAAGATGATAATCAAAAGAGGAAAGCGAACCCAACAAAACAACTTAATCTGTACACTCGTTACATAAAATTTACATCAGCCATTGTACTCATTAATCCGCATATGCGTTATAACCAGTTTACGTCATTCTTTGTACGTATTAAACCATATACTCGTTATGTAGGAGCTACATCAGACACTGCACTCGTTAATCCGGAAGCTCGTAATAAAGAGCTAACATCAGTCATGGATCTAGTACAACCGGATACTCGATATATAGAATTTACATTAGCCATTGAGCCATGACAACCAGATACTCGATATATATAATTTACATCAGTCATTGAGCTATGACAACCGGATACTCGATATATATAATTTACATCAGTCATTGAGCTATGCCAACCGGGTTATCGATATATAGAATTTACATCAGTAATTGAGCTATGACAACCGGATACTTGATATATAGAATTTACATCAGTCAGTGAGCTATGACAACCGGATACTCGATATATAGAATTTACATCAGTCATTGAGCTATGACAACCGGGTTATCGATATATAGAATTTACATCAGTCATTGAGCCATGACAACCGGATACTCGATATATAGAATTTACATCAGTCATTGACCTAGTACAACCGGATACTCGATATATAGAATTTACATCCGTCATTGAGCTATGACAACCGGATACTCGATATATAAAATTTACATCAGTCATTGAGCTATGACAACCGGGTTATCGATATATAGAATTTACATCAGTCATTGACGTAGTACAACCGGATACTCGATATATAGAATTTACATCCGTCATTGAGCTATGACAACCGGATACTCGATATATAAAATTTACATCAGTCATTGAGCTATGACAACCGGGTTATCGATATATAGAATTTACATCAGTCATTGACGTAGTACAACCGGATACTCGATATATAGAATTTACATAAGTCATTGAGCTATGACAACCGGGTTATCGATATATAGAATTTACATCAGTCATTGAGCTAGTACAACCGGATACTCGATATATAGAATTTACATCAGTCATTGTCGACGTTAATCCAAACATTCAATATAAACAAATAACATCAGTCATTGTTCTAGTTAATATTGACACTTATATTACCATAATCACTGTAGAGGGTATCTAACAGTGTCTTAAGTAATATCAAATATATAACACAAGTGTGGCTAAAAGATATTAAAATATTAGCCACATGAGTGGAATATAATTGGTATTAATGAAGACACTGTTAGATATCCTCTAAATATATTTTTATTCAAAGACGAAAACAAAGGAGGGTTGAATTCCTTTTTTTCATCAGCCTCTGATACTCTTGTTTACATCTTAAACTAGAAACAACAGCCAAAATAAACATATACGTTTATAAACATAAATAATAGTTCGATACATAGTTGCAGGACTTTTTATATTATCAATAGTACCAAAACACAATCGAAATCAGAAAATCAGAAAAGACACATGATAAATGGTCGGGTAGAGCGGGCTAGTGGATTCCCTATGGAAGCCAAATGAGCAGTGTAACGTATGTGCAACATAACAACCTAGTTGACACGACATTGCGATCCCGTAGTGTTGCCTCATCATCATGTGAATTTGCTACCAGTTAATTGTTGCCTCATCATCATGTGAATTTGCTACCAGTTAATTGACAAAATCGGGACAACGAGACCTTATTTAAATGTTTTTTAAAAAACAGCAAATTATTGACAAAATAACAATTTAAATTTTAGCATGTTTCTGTTTTTTCCTTAACCAGGTCTATTTTTTTGTGCGGATGAGACGTATTATCAAACAACAATTGCACCATTAATTGAAACACAATCCAATAGTCTACAGGTTTGGTTTGGTTGTTTTGTAAATGTATATAAAACAGTTGCAGACCTAGCAGCCGTGAAATGTTCATTATGTTCCTAGGGAAATAGTTTGTCCTTCAGGGAACATTAATGTCTATTTAGGTTGTTTGTTTTCAAATATTTTATTTCCTTTAAGTTAGTGCTCTATATCTGTATAACAGATTATAAATAACACAATGTATGAGATATTTACCTCACAAGTCGAATTTTGTAACGTAATTTACAGGAGTGAGTTCCTTATCAATTTGACATTTATTTCAATAAAAACATTTATTTATTCAATGTATTCAGTAAGTATATAATTTATGATTTAGATTGTGTTTTGTAAAATTCAATGCTAATTGAAGTTTACTGGTAAAATTAGAAAGATTAAGCTGTAGAATTGATTTTCTTGTTGTTTAGTGTTTCCCAGTGAAACCATACACGTAAATAGATGTTAGTGGGGAAATTCAACCCAATTTATATCAATATAAAGTGGGTTGAATTTCCCCACTAACATCTATTTACGTGTATGGTATAAATATATTTTATTCATTTCTTGTATTCATATTTTAGCTGCATTTTACACATGCTTTTAAACAAGGGTTATGGATGTGGAGATTGTTTTATTTGTTCGTTCTTCAGTACATCCAACGTACGAAAAACATGTATGGTACAGTAAAATGTTAACTTTGATAGGCTTCCAGCATCGAATTTCTATAAATGAATTATGAGTTAATAGTCGAGCGCGAGATTTTCCCAGTAACGAAGTTGTTTTGGTATAACTTCAATTATATTGTATTAAATTCTGAAATCACAACTGTTTATTTATACCGATACGAGTTGCACAGAAATTAAAGAAGCAAGATTCCCCAAAACTCACCGGCTGGTCAACTGTTAAATCAGTTGATCGATCAATAGTTTTTGTTGTTGCTTTGTTATCTCTGATAAAGCGCACACAATAGCTCGCATATCCTTACATCTCAACAGAAAAACCACATCCGGACCTGAAAAGTGTGAGATTATTTTGAAGGGGAAGAAATTACTTCATAAACAAATACTTATTCATTTTTATATCACGGACACATAACTCAACTATCTAAAATCAGGAACCAGTTCCGCACATGAACTTGTCACAGATCGACAAGGTCTTGAAACTTCCTTAATGGTCACATACATATATAGTATGAACAGTAGCGTCAAGTTAAGAACCGGTATTATACGTATGACGTATATTGTATATAGATCCGTTAAGCATTTACACTCGTGGTTGTACAATTTCTATGAATATATATGTTTATAACATTATGATGGTTTTTTTTTATTTTTATGTCTTGTACACAGACTATTACCTTTTTTAATGATAGTATATAATCTTCAAGGCGAAAGAGAATTGATTTTAAAACGCCTTGGCATTGTACACACTTACATCCATATCTGATTGATGCATTAAGTTCCATCCCATTGTTCTTATACTGTAAATGTACCTATTTTAGCGGTAGTCTTATTTTAGGGCTTTTCCCGCGTAAGATATTGCGCTAAATTTTGATCGCACCAATCGAACTATCCGTGTATTGTTTCTATTGAACACTTATCTTCTGGGTGCGCCAATTCAGCAATGCGCCTATCTGTTAAACTTTGATAATGCGCTTACATTTGAGAGAGCTAAATAAATCTGTAAACAGTATCATGACCAAGTGGCCACTGATACACAAAGACAAATTATTAGCATACCTAAAATCACAGAGATAAAAGGGATAAGAATAACTTGTGGTAATCGTCATTGCTGATTTGGGGTCAAATCACTAATATGGGGAGCGATGTAATCAAGAGTTTTAACAACGGAAGAGGGGACAAACGTTCACTAATTTATGATACTAGTTATCAAATATCAACAATACTTTTTGTACTCGAATTATGAGTTATGCAATATTTTCATTTTATGACATAATGTACTGTGTTATCCAACCAATATACCCATGTCATATTTTTTGCGTATTAACCCATGTAATATGTACCTATCAACCCTGTGATTAGTTGTAAGTTTCAATTGTTTCAATTGTGACGTCACGACTAGGACAAGCACATGACGTCACAGACTTACGCACTAGAGTTAAAATGGCGGCTTTTTACATTTCAAGGTTGCATGAAAAATGTTGCTTTACACGAATAAAAACAACAAATTTTGATTATGTGATAAAAAGGATCTTTAAATCGTTTTAATTTCATATGAAATTTATGAAACTCGTCACGACTTTTTCACTTAGCTCGCCAGAGGCTCGCTAAATTAAAACATTCTTATACTCATTTCAAAAATCCCATATGAAATGGCAACTCATGTTTGATCCTATATATACATCGTATATTTATTCACATTTACATTCAATGTAGTAAACTGTGCACCAGGAAACATTTGCCCAGTCAAACTTTCACTCTAACACCGAGACAATCCATATTCGCCCATTATTAATTTCGCCCTTCACATTTGATTACTCTGCTTATTGTTTGGGTACAGAAATTCGCTGTAATGGTAAATTAGCCCTCATTACGAAGTATGAAGAAAGTGGATGTTAAACTGCAGGGTAAATTACGCGGCATACAGTTTTCTGTACACAATATATTTATAAATACACTGTGGTATACATAGTAGTATGATTGACCTACGCTGTGCTGTTTCAACAACGATCTTCTATATTAATTCGTTACTTTCTTAGTTTCCAGTTCATTCCTACTTAAACATGTATTATTTGAATGCATACTTCATTCTCTTCCACACTTCACACGAAGAAGAAACAAGATAATACGCATCCAAAATAGCAAAGTGTGTGGCAACGCCTGATAAGGTTGTTGACCAATAAACATGCAGTTGTCAAATCCGGTTAACACGGAACATTAAGGACGCATACAATACATAAGTAACGTCTTTACACAAAGCACATCCTCCTCTCACGGACAAGGAATTCATCTGTTTTCATGGAGTTCAGATTCATCTGGTATGTCTGGCTGCAGATATATGGCAGCTATCAGCAAAATATTCTTCCCGAACATAAAAGGCGCCACTGCAATGCGCTACAGACTTTGGACATTATGGAGCATGCCATGCCCGAGATACGCAGCATTCTTCAGGAAGAATCTAACAAAGCCAGACGTCAATACGAGGAAATCGTATCTTTTCTGAGAGGTAATATATTTTGGTACAACTGGCAAGCCTTTTACTTCCCGTCAGCAGATAGTTCTCTCTCTTGCGGTATTATTATTGAATTTGGAACATCGCCACTGATAGTTCTTAAGACGTTTTCAAAAAGCTCCAAAGGAAACAGACGTTTTGGAAAGCTCCAAAGGAAACAGACGTTTTGGAAAGCTCCAAAGGAAACAGACGTTTTAGAAAGCTCCAAAGGAAACAGACGTTTTCGAAAGCTCCAAAGGAAACAGACGTTTTCGAAAGCTCGCAATGTCAGTTTCCAATTCCTGATTGTGTTCAAAACAAACTTAGCCTTTATGAATCATACCGTACTGACGAATCTTATTCCGACTACGTTAGTGTTTGATTAAAACTTTAGATTATCCAAACAATTAACAGTTCATGTGTTCATGCTCAGTCCAGAGGTCATGTAATGGTTTAGTTATACTCGTTTCTATACCTGTTATCACTTTTCCTGTCCTGATAACCATCTAATTGACACACAAAAAACATTTTCATGGCTTGTGCCTATAGTTATGAGAGAGAAAATCAAAATAGGTATGATCCTTATAGGACTTCACTCTTTGTGGTATGTAAATTATCTGATAAACCTTCTCATCCTATTGTTGTTATAGGTAGTATCCTGCTAACGTGTGAGGCTGGGTGGGTATACCATGACGGCAACTGTTATTTGATTTCACATAAAAGGAGCAACTGGCATTCAGCAATGGTAAGTATACCAATTAAACATATGCTTTAACTATATAATAATAATTTGTTTACACTTTAGCGCACATCAATACATAGTCATACACACAATAATATATAGAATATATCTACATCATGAGGAAAAAATCAGTCCAATATGATATAGACATTATCCTAAATCAAACTTATATCTGTGCACCATTATGAGCGAGCAAATAAGCCCACCTTCCTCATTTAAAGGAACTGTTTAATTAAAAGGCTAGTTTAGATCCATATCGTCAGAGTTTGTTTGAACCACGGAATACATTTTCGATTCACTTATTTCAAAGTTTGTCTACCACTATATGAGATAACTCAGTGTAAATGAGGATGATTTATTGACTTTCAATATGGGTAAACCATGATCAACATTTCTTCTTGTTTAACTCTTTTTACCCTTTGAGTGACTCTCTTGCAAACGGATTTTGACGTGCGTAACCCTTTGTAAGTTAACTAGGACCTTTGTAATAATGAAGCAGTTCATAGGATAAAGATAAAGATTATTCAATATGAAAGGTATAATAACTGTATTTTAAAAGACTAAAGCGCAAAATTTGACAGATAGAAATCCATTTTATTGCAAAACCTGAAAAGAGTCTTGAAGTCAGCGATGATTTTTGTTCTCAAACATAGTTTTATTTTTTTGTAATTTGAAATCAAGGTCGTTTGTCAATCCATGAACGCATACCTTGCAGAGATAAGAAACGATAAGGAAAATCGGTTTTTGAAGACAGAACTGCAAAAAGTCACGAAAGGTTTGTGGATATAACACTTCATAGTAAACCATGTTTACAACTTATCCCAGTGGCCAAAAAGCTAGTTATCTACAGAAAAAAAAACATGTTAAATACAACTCCAAAAGAAGCTAATGATGGGATGTAACAAAGATTTTAATCAATAGTTTACAATTCGGACGAATTGGTGACTTAAGGATGCCCAAAACTATAATTATCCATTGGAAACATTTTTTTCCGGTTTATCTATGGATTTGGTAAATCATATTTGAAAAAGAAAACCACAACTTGGGGGACTGGTTTGGAAATAAATCATAATGGTGAAATATGATATAATCACCAATAGTGTTCTGAATGTAACAAAGGCAGGGCTAGGGATTTGAACCCAATACTTCATTTTGTTTTGTCTCGTCGTTCTTATTTACTTCGCTATCTGATCATCCGAAATGTCCTGATCCAGCAGTGCTACAGTTATAGCCAAAAGGACATTATTGTCAAGGTCACTGTGTTAACGCAAAACAACAGGGCAGTGGCACATGGATCCTTAATATAAATATAGCTTAAATACTGTCATAATATGCGATATAGGAGTTGTATGAAACTGATTCACATGCCCCTATTATTCAGAGATAGAACAGAGATGGAATTGGAATTGTTTCCTTGGTGGAACATATTTGGATACTGAGGGTGAGTGGATCTGGAACAACACAGGAACACCACTAGGGTTTACTGACTGGAGTCAAGGAAACCCTGACAATCGGGCTACTAAAGAGCATTGCATGGTGATGATTGAAAAATTTGGGTTCCAATGGGGTCACCTATCCTGTCAACTAAAGAGACCTTACATATGTAAAACAAGGTACGTATATGCATACAATGGAGCCTCTCAAACTCAACCATATTCAGTATCCATTGGAAATTGGCTCGGTTACTGAGACATTCTTTAATACAATCTGTCCACTAAACATTTTGTAAAGGGTTGGTGAATTCAAAATAACTTCCCTGCATCCCTCGCCTTCGTGTTTATATGTCGCGGTGAAATCAGTTATCGAGACTTTGCTCACAATAAATTAATTTATCATATCTCATGCATTCCCAAGAACTTATATGATTTATTTAGTTATTTATTTGCTTTTTGTTTGTTGGTTTGGGGTTTAACGTCCTAAGCAACATATAAGGTCATTGGAGACGGTAGCCTAGGAACACACTGCTTAAACAAAAGATCCCGTAGAAGAAAAAGAAAAAGTTAAGATTCTAAGTGTTGTGATTCGAGCAGCAGATCAATTGTGGTTTCTTTGATACAGCAATACTGACCCCAGATTCTGCCGGGTTTCCACATTAATCGTCTTTTACGAACTATCCGGACTACTCATGAGGCTGCTTGGAGTAAAAAATTTATATAAAACAATGTATATACTAAAGTGGAAAAAATATACCTTCAGAACATTCTTTAAAAATATGTTTTGGTTGTGAATTGTACTGGTAAGCTTGGAATACAGATTTGTTTTATCTAACGTATACAACGTTATAGTGTAGTATCCAATAGCTGATTATTATCATCAATATACTATATGGATGAGATTAAGAGATTTCATATATAGAAGATAAAATATATGACAATATCATTAAAACAACATTAAGACATACAAATGTACTTGTATAACAACAATTATGAAACAATTTAACTTATATTAAATCACTCTTGTTGGCCCGGTTGTTAGCGCACGGAGGGTCTTAATCCGGGAGGAAACCGGAGTACCCGGAGAAAACCCATATGGTCGGGCAGGTGACCCCATACCATGTATATGAAAACGGAAATATTTGAAATCATTAATAAGTTGTCTGCATGTTTTTTTTTAGTGTCCAATACAAGTTGTATCCCTGATGACGATGATAGACTTACTGGGACGTTGGGACATTTAGCTTCGAGAGGAACCTCAGCCAGCACGTGATACATCACCAGATGAACTTTGTTTAAAATATTGTCCGTTCCACATAGAATACCGATACAAGAATAAGGACCCCAGCCTAAAATAACAAAAACAAAAAGGTTACTCTACGTGGCAGTGTGATCTATATGTCATTATTTTTTTCGTATGCGTGCCTTTATTTTACGTATCCAACTTCAAAACATTATTTTGACAGGTGTTGGCACTTTTTAAAGTAAAGGCCACCGACAATTTAATATATCATTGCCATAGTCATTGCTGTGAAATATTCATTTTAGTCCCTTTGAAAGACATATTCCATAAAAATCACACGTTGCCATACAGGAATTGTCCAATTTGTGGGTCGCGGTGCTTATGGAAAAAAACTTTTGACAGCGGAAGTCACCCTAAGCCAGAAATCTCATTTCGGTTGGTTCATCTCTTTTATTGAAAGCGAGAATACTCAAAGTATAAAAAGAACTGAGTGGAACTTTTCTTCGCGATTATTAATGATGCACTTCTACCCTTTACCTTAAGAGATGTTTTCCATCGAACTTACAATAGGTTGACTGACAATAGGGGCCTATCATTGCTAACCATCACACATGTTTATCATGGTATAAGGATGTTCATACTCACTATGCTCCTCATCATGCTTCTCATTATATTACCACGTGCTTGTCATGTTTCAAGGAAAAATAAAAGGATATCATACTATTTATGCATTTTGTTTGAGTTAAAATACCTTATTTCTGACATACTTTGGGGGCCTCTGTGACAACATATGGTCTTGCTTAAGGATCCCCGTACCACTGGCAAAACTGTGACCAGGCATTGGACACTTGGTGTTTTCCCGGGACTATTGAAACAAAAACCAAATAAAATGTGAAGTAAAAAAAATATAATCGAATCAACAATAATTCATGAGTATGAAAATTCAGCGGGCACTAGTAGGGGATTCAAACCCTGCATCACAACTTGTTATACCGTCGCTCTAACCGACTAAGCTACCTGGTCAACATGGTATACCGTCGCTCTAACCGACTAAGCTACCTGGTCAACTTGTTATACTATCCCTCTAACCGACAAAGTTACCTGGTCAACTTGTTATACTATCGCTCTAACCGACTAAGCTACCTGGTCAACTTGTTATACTATCCCTCTAACCGACTAAGCTACCTGGTCAACATGGTATACCGTCGCTCTAACCGACTAAGCTACCTGGTCAACATGGTATACTGTCGCTCTAACCGACTAAGCTAACTTGTCAACTTGGTATATCGTCGCTCTAACCGACTAAGCTACCTGGTCAACTTGGTATATCGTCGCTCTAACCGACTAAGCTACCTGGTCAACATGGTATACTGTCACTCTTAACGACTAAGCTACCTGGTCAATATGGTATACTGTCGCTCTAACCGACTAAGTTACCTGGTTAACTTGGTATACCGTCGCTCTAACAGACTAAGCTAATTGGTCAACATGGTATATCGTCGCTCTAACCGACTTAGCTACCTGGTCAACGGAAGTGACCTGACTCGACATCCAAAGCGAATTAAAGGGGAGGTTGCGTAGTATACGAAGAAGTGGGACAGGGATCCTTAAGTTGTAAAATTTACATTAAAAACAAACCGGGAGGTGCTTATACTCTCCATGCTGACGCATCTCTCCCCTTCAGACAGTCATTATGAATATCTACATTTGTACTGATGTAGCCTTCAATGTATTTTCAAATATATTCGAAAGGGGAAATCTGACTTATCATGAAACTAACCAAACTTTGAACAATAATATTTTCAAATATAGAAAAAAAAGAAAAAAAAATGTATAACGTTTACTAATAGACATAACGGTGGTGAACAAAGGAACACGTGATATAACAGCATTACATGGAATATAATTCATTTTTACTCAAGTTGGACCCATTGAAACTACCAAATCTTGTCTGGCTCTTTTGCCCATTAAATTAACAAGATAAACATTGCCTGTGCGTATGAATACAAGTTTTTAGATTTCTCGAAATGTTATCACATAAAATAAAATAGGACATAGATTTTAAAATTTGTATTTTGTAATCTTGTAATATCATAATATTGCTGTATTAAAATATCAGCTTTCGTAACATCGCTGTATGAAGGTCCCCCTATGATACACTATATACATAACGTCAATATGTAAACTTACACAAGCTTGAGTATCTACGATAAACTATACAGAATTTCAATAAATTCCAATTGTTCAAACTCGTTTTAAATGAAAAAAAAAATCTCACTGTTTTCATCGATGAACTTTGTCTTGCTTTTGCCGATTTCATGGTGTGATACATTTAATTGGTCTTCTGACGAATTCAACAAGAACCACTTATCTGTTAATTAAATTTGTCTCCAGACTGAACCTAATTCATCACCCATTTAAATCTAACTAAGTGAAATTTATTCCATAAATAATAATACGATATTTAGACAGTGCAACATAATTAAATGAAGTGCGTTTTCTAACGAACAAAAAATAAAAAAAATAAGTAGTGAAATATATATAAAAAAAACACCACCACATGAATAATAAATAATTCTTTATAATATCATTGATAAGACTATTGGAAATGTTATAACAAAGTTGGTTTTGAAAACTGTCTTCAAATACATTTGCCCAATCTCTCGATTAGTCTGTTTGACGATATTATTACCATCCCTTGATCGCGGGAAATTTCAGCATGCTATGTCACCTTGTAAAGGATTCAGAAAGGCGGCTTAGCTTAATTCAACAGTAAATATTGTAGATTTGTATTTGTTCACACATGAGATCAACTTTCGATCAAACTAGTTTATACCACAATTGGGGATGGCATTTTTACAAACAAATGATCCAAACCCATACATTTGCATGTATCAAGAGCACATCAGTTTGTTCCAAACATAGATTAACTGTAACAAATGACCAGGTACTGTTATAAAATATAGTACTATAATAAATAATAATAATATACAACATTTGATATAGCGCCCTATCTAGCTACCATAAGCCACTCTAAAACGCTTTACAGTACATATATATATAAAATGAATACAATTAGCATATACATTAATCAATACAATTTTGAGGGAGAAATTCGCGGAAAGCCGGATTGTTAACCACTCGACCAACCTGCCAATAAATGCAGGTATGTACATTGTAGTGATATATCGGTGTACCAAGGCCCCATTCGTACACACACACAAACAAAATTGTGTATATCACTACTGTGTACTACAACAACCGAGACACACTTGACCATGCTTCCCTGTACAATTGACCTAAACCTCTTGTTCCTTGTTTGATATCCTGGTATATGTGTATATAAGTTAGATTCTCCATAATGTATTCACAAAATCATGTGCTCATTGTTTATATCCTCCTCTACACTACACGACATGTAGCGATGTTTGTAATACCCTTCATCGGTCCGCCCCGTCCGCCCAGATTTGTTGTCACTGAGATCCCTCAAAACTCGTAGTTTCCTTGTCCAAAATTATTGTTTTCTGGGTCGAATAGAATGGACAGCAATAAAATCTTTATCAAGAATTTCAGGATAATGTTTTTTTTTTACTATAAATAAAATATCAATGATGCTGTTTCATAGCTTGAAAATACCTTTTTGGAGCAGTAAAATGAGGTTTCTTTGAGTTCTAAATCGTATTACAGAATTCCATTCCAGACCGTCTCGTCCAAAGTAGTTGTTCAATCATATTTATCAGGCTCAAGACATAGCATCCTCAAAATGAAAACAATCAGCAGGGCGATTACTGATGAACGGCATGTAAGATATTTAGTTCACCTCTACTACGATCAAGGTGGACTGGCTAAAACCTCATAACACCCAACACAACGGGGGTAGGGGCAGTGAAGAACTGCTTCACCTCCTCCTCACTCTCTATTAACATTGGCTACTTCAGGTCACCTCCCCTTATATGTACTGTGGCTATATCAGATTGTATCAGTCAAGATCACTTTTCAGGTTCTTAAATCCACATTTAAACTTCAACAAAAGTCCATAATTGATAAATATAACTCGAGCTTCTGTAGAGCAAAAACATATTTTCTGGAAAATACAATGGTTACAGCGGATCAAATTTGATTTCTTCAATGTCCGCACACCAGACAAAGCCAGCAGTACCACGATGTAGATTGATATGGCAGTACCAGAAACAGAGATTTGAAATGACTTATAAAAGTATATCACATGACCTGCAGGTGATTTTGTAAAATTCCTGAAAAACGTTGAGAAATTTCCGAGACAATGATACCGGAAATCTTCAGCTTGTGAGTCAACTCAACAATGACCCGTTTATTCACACTGATTTCTTGGTTGAGGATAGCACAAGAGGATGTGATTTTAAACATTGAAAGCACTTAGTCACCAACAGATCGTGGTTATTGTTCAAACAAGCGGCGCAAAATGACCATTGGGTACTAATATTGAGGAATGACATTACCTTTTTTCTTAAACACACATATCATTATCATTAAGTGCTAAGAAAGGGAAAATAGGTTCGCTAGAATACTGTCGAAACAAATATATCAGTGATAGTTTTGTATTCCCTATTTGCCATTTACTCCTTTTAAAACAAATCATTTCAAAAACAAAATAATTTAGTACAGGATGTTTTAACTTCTCCAAGGAATACATCCTTAATTACTTTTGTGATATTTCTTCATCATCGTCACCAATCATGTAACCATACTGCAAGCAGCTCCTTTCGGTGCTTTGTCCTCATGTTGTACTACGCTATTTCGGAACATCTTGTCGGGTTCCATGGCTGTTGCTTACCATGACCGTGAATACCCCCTTGATAGTTTCGGATAATCCCTTTAGGTAAGAGATGACAAACTGATCTTTTCTTGATACGAATATCTACAAATTGTCAAATTTTTGGCTTTTGGTTTTGGTTTCCCGTCCTGATATAATTGTTGGCGATTGCATCACATTTATTGAGAAACGTTAAGGGAGGTGTGACATAAAGGTAAGCGATTGATCCGTGTCCCTCTTTTCCCTACAGATCACTACCTTCACGGATCCGACATCTTTTCCTAAAACGAAAGTGTCAAGGAAAGTGATTTCACAGCCGAATCGATTTGTAGTTTCGATTGTCGTTTCGTTCGCTTAAAGTGCTTTTTCATTTCAGTAATAATTACCATAACTTTAGTATGCATATACAATACCTACACCCATCTTTGTAGCCCAAAAACAAAATATTCAAATATCCCTACCTCCCTACCGTGACGTAATCTATATCTCGATGACAGAGCCACGGAGTGACCTCCCTTCCTCTTCCTTTTATGGCGCCTGCTGCCTGCTGACGCCCGGAGCTTGCTCCATTTCAAAACTTTGTTTTGTCGGTTTGGTTTGAGTGTCAACTCATATTTTTGCGCAGTTTGTGTGCCTTTTACCCATCTGCCCTTGTTGATATAACTAATTGTTGTTGAAAATTATTTTTGTGCCTTTTACGGCCGGTTATTTTACTCCACGTGTGCCGGTGGTGTGCCACGGTCCGCCATTATCGTGGGTTAATTTCCGACCTCTGTTTATTTCGGTGACGGTTGTTTGTTTCGGCAAACGTTATTTATTTTAACCGTTTTCTGATTTATATTACGGGTGAAATTCTTTCTACGTTGCGTACTTTGTACTATCGTATTTTA